CAGCGACTTCTCATGAGTTCTCACGATCCGTCCTCGACTCCTATGGTGATTCCAAAGCTCGAACCAACCATTGAATCTACTCAAACCTTGCCTTTACAACCTCGACCTGACCCACAACCTCCGATTTTCCAGAATACTCCTCCGTCTTCCGTTTCCGTCGAACCCAACTTCTGTTCGGAGTTCAACACCGTCGCGGAGACTTTCCGTTCCGCTTTTGCTGAACGGCTCAAGGGTCACGATGACGTCACGGTTCTCGATTCACAAACCGGAGCAATCGTACCGGTAGAGGATGAAACGGATCCGGTTCCTTATTCAGGTAATGACGCTTCTCCTTCCGTCGTTACGCGAAGGCCGAAGCCGCAGCAGCGTTCATCGGAGCTAGTGAGGATCACTGATGTTGGACCTGAAGGAGAGAGACAGTTTCGAGAAGATTTGAGAAAGGTTAGGATGATTTACGATTCTCTTCGAATCTTCTTGATAATGGAAGATAGGGTTCATGGGATTGGAGGAAGGAGAGGTAGGCCTGATAGTAAAGTTGCTTCAATGATGAAAGATTGTTTCTTGTGGTTGCATCGTGATAAACGCATCGTTGGTTCGATTCCCGGAGTACAAGTTGGTGACATTTTCTTCTTTAGGCTTGAGTTGTGTGTTGTTGGTTTGCATGGACAAACACAAGCTGGGATTGATTTTCTTACAGGGAGTCTTAGTTCTAATGGTGAGCCAATTGCTACTAGTGTGATTGTTTCAGGCGGGTATGAAGATGATGACGATCAAGGCGATGTGATTATATACACAGGTCATGGTGGACAAGATAAGCTTGGTAGGCAAGCTGAACATCAGAAGTTAGAAGGTGGGAATCTTGGTATGGAACGGAGTATGTATTACGGGATTGAAGTGAGAGTGATTAGAGGGTTTAAGTACGAGAACTCGGTTTCTAGCAAAGTTTATGTTTATGATGGGCTGTTTAGGATTGTTGATTCGTGGTTCGATGTTGGGAAATCTGGTTTTGGTGTGTTTAAATTTAGGCTGGAGAGAATCGAAGGGCAGCCTGAGATGGGTAGCTCGATTCTCAAGCTTGCTAAGACTCTTAAAACCAACCCAATGTCTGTGAGGCCAAGTGGTTACATCAGTTTCGATATCTCAAATAGGAAGGAGAATGTTCCTGTCTATCTATATAATGACATAGACGACGACAAAGAACCTTTGTATTATGAGTACCTTGTCAAAACTTCGTTTCCGCCTTGCTTATTTATTCAACAGAGTAATGGTGCAAGTGGCTGCAACTGTACCTCAGGTTGTAGCAGTGGCTGCCTTTGTGCAAGTAAGAATGGAGGTGAATTTGCTTACGATTACAATGGTAATCTAATCAGACAGAGACCATTGATATTTGAGTGTGGACCGGCATGCCAGTGCCCTCCAAATTGTCGAAACCGTGTGACTCAAAAGGGTTTGAGGAATAGTCTAGAAGTGTTTAGGTCAGTGGAAACGGGTTGGGGAGTTCGGTCTTTGGATATATTACATGCTGGTGCTTTTATTTGTGAGTATGTCGGGGTTGCTTTGACAAGGGATCAAGCCAACATTTTAACAATGAATGGTGATACATTGGTATATCCTGCTCGGTTTTCTTCTGCTAAATGGGCAGCTTGGGGAGATTTGTCAGAGGTCCTTGCTGATTACGAGCGACCATCGTATCCTGAGATTCCTCCTATTGATTTTGCAATGGATGTGTCGAAGATGAGGAATGTTGCTTGTTACATAAGCCACAGTACTGATCCAAATGTCATTGTCCAGTTAGTGCTACATGATCACAACAATCTGATGTTCCCTCGGGTCATGCTTTTCGCTGCTGAGAATATCCCGCCCATGACTGAGCTCAGCCTTGATTATGGAGTAGCTGATGAATGGAGTGCCAAGCTTGCCATTTGTAATTAAATTGTTCTTTCGAATTATGCAACAGCCAGGCAGCTCTAGGAAGCCAAAGCCACATTTCTCCAGGTAATACTAAGTTAATGGTTTGAAAGTCTCACAAAAGAAGCACGTAGTGTTATGTTAGTTATGGTTCCAAATGCGTCTTGCATGGTTAAACAGAAGCATAGGTTTCCATTATTTATATAGAAGAAATATCATAGCTTGAGACATATTGCAGACTGTATTTTGATGTTATTTCAACATGGTTTGCGCTGAATATGGTAAGGGTTTTTATTTGAGAGACAGTTTATTGTGAGTGTTCTTCTGTTTGATTTCTGTAATGCATTGAGAAAACCAACCAAAGATGTGCTTTTGATGTTAGGAGTCATATTTTGTTCATCTGAATTCGATATATATATTGGTTTCTTGCAGATTGTAATGAAGTCGAAGCCGTGGTTGAATCTTTTGCTCTTTAGTTTGGATTGGAAGAAACAAGGAAAGCAATTGTGCAGAACTTAGGTTTGAGAAACCCTACTCCTCTCAAGTGTAGTAGACCTTATTATATGCTTACTAGTGTTTGACTTGTGGGGCATCTTCTAAGGATTTTTGGGGTTATTAGTATACAAAACTCTAAAGATGTTTGTTTGTCTGTACCGTTTTGCTCTTGTTTTTTCTCTTCTTCAAAATCATTAGCAAAATTTTATTAATTTGAAACCGGGAAATCAGAGAAATTCTTACGTTCACTCAGATTGATGACAACTGAAATATATATTCAAGCTGGACTCACAACCCGTGTGAAATAGTACAAAAATCTAAATTGAAATGTAGAACCGCACACATAGTAAAGGTTGAAAATAGTTATCTTAGTCGTTTTGGATACTCGAAATCAAATCCCTTTGTTGGTGTGGCATCTCACTCAACAATGTTGATTTTGGCTAAATGTATACAAATTTATGTAGAAAATTTAAATAAATACATTAATCAAGTTAAATTTGGCTAAGTATCAAAGTTGAAATATAAAAGCGAACGTTCAACATAGAACAAGTTAAAAGTTCTCGTCATTTATTTTGTTAGCTGCAATATCGATTTCGTATCCCTAAAACAAATATAGTTTGATACACATTTACATCAAAAGTATTCTGTAAGCACCATGTACAACATACCATTATATTGGCTATTTAACAAACTAAATGGAGTCTATCGTACATGAGGATTTTTATAAGTTGATTCTTATCCTTAATTTTAATCAAATATATCTTTAATTGTGATTTTTAATCCAATCAAAGCCAATCTTAAACCCACTTAAATCATTACATTACTTTCTCCACAAAACTCATCATAAAGTCACTTCAATCATTACACTACCTTGTCCACCACCTCATTTGATTTAGACGTACAACCATTCCCAATTGTAAAGTTCCCTCAAGTCCATGTAAAATTTTAGAAACTTTTGCAAACTCTACTGCCACCATATATTTCTCTTTTCCCTAGAAAAAGTGGGGTTGTAACTCTTTTCATAAGTATTAAGTTCTTGAAAAGACTTCTGAGGGAGTATCTCATTATTGTCTTCTTCTACTAAATGCTTCCTCTTGATTCTTGTGTTACTCTCCTCTTTTTTTCATCTATCTCCCATCACCATAACCTCTTGTATTTCTCAACTGTCTTGAGAGTTCCAAACCATATTCTTGGAGTTGGAACTCTCTTCCTAGGTATTGGGTTGCATGAGGATATCCCGGGAGTTTCGAGGGAGTATTCTATAGTTTATTTTTTTCTATTAAGCGATGCCTCGTGATTCTTTTGTCTATCTCCTTTTCCTTACGCCTTTCCCTGAAGATCATCTTCTTTTCTTTCTCGTCATTTTATGCGTATCTGTTGCATAATAGCACACCTATTTTGGCTTCTAGCTTGACCAATTCCTTTTTCCTAGCCACATCGTCCAAACATTTCGTACGGTAGTTGATTTTATTCTCTGAATGGCTATAAAGATAGCCTAATCTGTCTTGAACACTCCAACAAAAAGTCTATTTTGACTATAAAGTAGTTCTCATCGTGTAAATAATTTCTATAAGTTTTACAAAGTTAGTAATATTATGAAATATGATTTGAAGCAAAAAAATAGGTTGTGTGTTATACCCGATACATTATAAAAATATTCATGTACATGAAAAAATGGC